CCCCCCCCCCCCCCCCCGCCCCGATTGTAATTAAATCTGTGTAGTTAGGGTTGGGGACTGAGGGGCCGTTGAAAGCCAAACTTTAAAAGAGGATAAAAGAAATCCAAAGAGGAACGTCTGTTCTTGGTCGTACTGTAATTCCTCCCAAAGACCTCTCAAGTGCTCAGCGCTCAAGTGTTTACATATTGAATACACACACACATATAATGGGATACATGCATTTGGAATGAATATACGCCTACAGATATGTGTGTCTATACACACAATATCTATGGGACATGACTAAAGCACTGTAAAAGCGAAAGTCCTCTACCATTTGCAATAAAATGTTAATTTTTATTATTAATTTTTAATAGGAAAATCTCACCTTTTTATTTCCACCAAACCCATCTTTTTCTTTTCCCCTTTCCTTTCTACCTGCTTCTCGCCCCCTATTATTTTTAGAGTGGGAACGCCCCTGGTCCTCCCTTCCCTCGCTTTTTTTTTTTTTTTTTAAATCTGGTTTATTTATTGAAAGCATCTGAGACTGGTTTTCTTCTGGGTCCCCCCCCCTTAATCCCCGCACAAAGCTTCCGTCCCCGTCAACATCGTTTCACGCCACTTGAATTCCCCAAAGGACACCATTAATTAGTAAACAATAATTAATAATACCAGCCCAGCACTTTTCCTCTGCTGGGTTCCACCTTCTCTCTATATCCGGGGTCACTTGATAAATTTAGGGGCTCCTTCCCTTTTCCAAATGCCTCCACTCTTCTTTCCCCCCTCGATCTTGGTTAGTTTCCCCTTCTGGAATGATAGCTAAATATCCGATTTTCTTTTCCTTAGAAAAACAAAGAAAGAAAGGATAATTTAATCCAAACGCCGATTTGAAACCGATACTTACCCGCCTGGTTCCTGTTCAAGCCATTTTCCTGAACCTGTTAACAAAAGAGGAGTGAAAAAAGCAGAGGCCAAAATTTAAGGAGAAAGCACGGTGGAAAATTAGCTGGGGGAAAATGGAAGAAAAGGCCGGGAGACGTAAAGTTGGGGTGTGCGTGAAATAGTACTAGTAGTAGTAATAATAATAATAATACAACAACAACCTGGGAAGCTTGCCGCACAGGTAACTCCTTAAACATTGAAGAGGAAAAAATCAATTTTTTTTCTTCTCTCCTTGAATCTCTTTCCAAACAGAGGGGAACCCCAAAAGACGCATCGTGTTTTAAAATTCGACTCCCCGCAGGGGTAACTTGCACAAAATATTATGTCTCCCTCTCTATATATCAGATTGCATCGCGACCCACTCCCTGCAATTCGTTAAGGAAAAAGGAGCGGGCAGTTCGCTACTTCGAACCGGGGAGGCGCGTGCCGGCGGCGGCGAAAAAAATCCCACCTCCCCCCGTTTGGTCCGGCTTAAGGGTCGCTCCCGAGTCGACCTGGGGAGGGCTCCGCGATCCGTCCACATCAAACGCGGAGGAGGAGGGAAAAACGGGAATTAAAAGGTCTCTCCAGCCAGCATGCGCTTTCTTATTGGGGGGAGAGGAAAGGCACCCCCCCGACGCCGTCGCACATAGGCCTCGCAGGACCGGGGGGGGGGCGGCTGAGATGCACGCGGCAGAATTCGGTCCGCAAGCCCCCCTCCTTTGAAAGGCACTTAAAGTTAG